TATTAGTCAAATATGAAGAAGTTAAACTTTAAACATCCATGACTTAAACAGTTTATCCAGGATAAAAGCCACATAGGTGAATACAGCTGGTAAAAGAAAAAGCGTTTGAATGCGTACATTAACAGGTTTATGATATCACTGCCCAGTCTAAGACACGAGTGGATCTGACTTTAATTAGGAGAATTTGACTCGAGTGTTTCGTCAACTTAATGTGTTGCTTAAAATAATACTTCTGCATACAGTATGTGACACTGTGAGTGTTGCACGGCCAGATACGGCTCAAGAAGCTGACTCAAATAAGGAAATATATGATACATTATGATGTGATATGATATGAATGATAATGGGACACATCGACGTCTGCACTCACAGTGCCGCGGACTGTACTTAATGTTACTCTGATCCGGTTACTTATGTCGTGGCAGATATTTAAGTAAGCTTTCTTAACGCTAATATTATAATAGTCAGATTGCTCTGAAGATGGGAGGGGATATTCTATTAATTTTCACGTTCACACAGTCAGTTGATTTTTGCCGGCCGTCTTTCCTGCAACGGCAGTTTTTCTGTATTTCCTCTATCCTGTAATATGACTTGATAGCTTTAAACTCCGCACACGGAGCTCTGATTGGTCAGCAGGCGGTGCTTTCACTGAGTTGATCTCTTAGCCTGCAACCTAACCTCCTCCCGAGGAGGTTAGCCGCTCAGCATAAGTTACCATGGAGATCTAGCCCGCTAAAAAGAGAACCAGCGTCGTAGGACCGGAAAGCCCGAGTTTTCCCTGAAGTCAGCCGGCTAAGCGAAAATCCGGCTTCGTAGTACAGGCCTCTGGTGTTGTTGTTGTACTCCAAATATTAAGCAAAATATGTCACATTATATAATGACTATCACCGAGTCATCATTTTGAGAAAAAGGCCTTCAAAGTTTCCTACTCTCTGGAATCCATCTATCTGATTGATTACCAGCGGAGCAAATGGTCAAAATAGTCCGGAGGGAAAATATTTTCGTTTGGATTACTGGTCTGGGGGAAGCTCGCAAGTATGTGTGTGTGTATGTATGTGTGTGTGTGTTGGTGTATTTTTGCGTTTGTGTGTATTGTGTTTGTTTCCCGGGGAAAACACTCACGACAAACACCGGCTGTTGTTATGCCTGCTGAATTTGCCGAAAGAAGTTTAATATTCTGAAAGCCAAGACTTTGTTTATTTGAAATCAGATGAAAACAAACTGTAACGGACCCTGCCGTGTTATCTATGATTACTATGCGCCTTACATTAATAATTTCAGCCGGAGGGAGGGGGGGCGGCGCTACGGAAGAGCAGAGTGGCGAGTGAGAGCTGTCATCTTCCCTTTACAAGCTTCAAAAATGTATTTATCGTGTGATTTTGGCAATAAAAGTTTCATATTCTGAAAGCCAAGAATTTGTTTATTTAAAATCAAACAAAACACCCGAATTTCTTTACGCAAATCCACGTTTATTTTGAAATGAGCCGTTACGACTTCCGACTGATTTCGATATAGAGAGGCGAAGTCCCTCCCCTTCCGGTGGGACTCATCAGTAGCGTGGCGTGGGGAAAAATGTAGGGGAAGCCCATTTTTTTGGGTTGGGGGGGTGGTCAATATCGTAACCAGATGAGTGATTACAGCGCCCGGTATCATTTTACACACATTTGTATCACACAGATGCAGGACTTGCACACGCCTGTTATCTAACCGACAGGTCCGCACGCACTCTCCAGCCGAAACTCTCTCGTCTTATTCATTTAAGCATTTTCTTATTAATTTATGCAGACACACCCCCCCCAAATGCAATACCAGCCGCTCAATGCGCAGTGCAGATTCGGTAATGAATAAAAAAGAAGCATTCATTCACAAAGTAAATCAGGAGACCTTTAAAGTTTTACGTTCACATCAAAGTATCAGTAGGCGTGTATGAAACACATGAATTCAAAAACAATTATGTTCAGAAACATTTGCATGCGATAGTCCACCTTCTCTTCCCTTCCCTTTCTAACACACGGCAAGTGCAGCAACAGTCCTCGTCTCTGTAATTAGCTCAGTCCGTAGTCCAAAAGTAACTAAAAAATATAAACAATCTCATCTATTCAGGTGATCGGGCCCTATATGGAATAAATAATGCTTCATTTGCTTGATAATTTCAAACAGCGGTGATGACAGTTACAGTAGGCTACTACAGTACGTAGTAAAACTGATGTTGATGTGATTTGATTGGATGGCAGTGTCCAATCAAATCGCCAGCCGCCTCTGAAGGGAAGCTAGAGGCAGCTGGCTTCCCTTGGCATGGCCCTGACCAATCACAGGTTGGCAGGGGCATCACGTGGGCCTCATCTGATTGGTCAATCCCTCAATTTTTTTTCACCAAGGGAAGCCCGATCCGGCTGGCCTCCTCTTGCAACAGTGAATGCAATCTACTGTTTCACCATAACATCTAGAGGGGCGCTGTTTGTTTCACTCTTTGTAAAATACTCAATGAGAGTGGGGGAGAGACGGGCCGGCAGCAACACACAGCAAAGGAGAATTATCGAAACAAAACAAAGTGTTTTTATTTATTTATTTAAATTATAACTACAATCCGAAAAAACAGGGGAAGCCTGGCTTCCCTTGGCCTCCGGGAGAAAACGCCACTGGGACTCATGGGACCTTATTTCGGAAAAAGTTTGTATTGAAGTCAATGGAGAGAGAAAGATTATCTTTCGATCCCATTTGAATTGTGCCACGAATTACACATATGATGTTTGTCAATCTTAAAGGGCCCATGTCATGGCCATTTCCACTGATCATAATTCCATTGTTGAGGTCTACTAGAATAGATTTATATTGTGCATTTTTCCAAACTCACATTGGTTTCTCATACAGCATCTCTGTAAACTACGTGTATTCACTGAATTTCACTCTCTGCCTTTAACGGCTCGTTGTAGCTCCAATAGCTCCAGCCCCCACCCTCCCTGTGAGCACAGTGTGCTCTGATTGGTCGGGACGTTGTGAATCGCGCTGAGCTCCGTGGAGGTGTTGTTTCCTTGTTTAGGATACATAGTGAAACACAGCCAAACTCATCCTGAGCACACACAAAGTCACAGCCGAAGTAAAAACAATAAGTGTGGCTTGATATTGAGTAAGAAAAAGGTTGATAAACGCTGTGAGAATGGGTCTGCAGAGAGAATTTCGCCGCGATCCCAACTGTCTGTTATCAGCCTGCAGCCAGGGAGGAGAAATCAGCTGAGCTGCCTGCTCCCTGCACACAGATGTGTGTGTGAGGAAGTCCGTGGATTGGTCAATTTGGACCAATCAGCGGGGGCTTAACGTAACGGCTCCACGGATTGGTCCATTTCGTTCCGGGTACGGCTTGACATCATGCCGTACCCGGAACGAAATGGAAGAATCAAATGGACAATGACGTATCTCCAACGAGGCGTTTTGGGGAGGTATTTTCTGTGTTAGAGTTTTACTCGCTACAGGGTGTACTTTGAGGGTTTGTGACTCTGCACACCGTTTACATGCATAAAAACCTTCATAACACACAAGGGGACGGGTAATAACCGGAAAAGCTTGACATGGGCCCTTTAAATAATAATTTCCATGTCAAAAAAGTCAGTTTGTCGTAAAACGGTTGAAATATAAGACTATGAAAAATACGCAACTAGAAAGACTACAAATCCCAGAATCCCGGTCCCGCATGCTGGCTCTTACGGAACCGACTAACTCCCCTTGTGTGTATGTACAGCTCTCAACATGCCCAGACTTGTAGTGATTTTCACCTCTTTTAATACTTTTCACCTCATTCTGAAAGAAAGAAGTGAAATGTGCCAACGTGACGGCCGTCTTGGTGTGTGGTGCGAGACGGGAGATGTAGTTCATTGAGCGGTTTCACACAAAAAAAGTGTTACTTCACAGTTTTACGACACATTTTTATTTTTTTGACTTGCAAAATTATCTTTTAAATTGTCAAACATCATGTGTAATTCGTGGCACAATTCAAACGGGATCGAAAGATAATCTTTCTCTCTCCATTGACTTCAATGCATAACTTTTCCGAAATAAGGTCCCATGGAGCTCAACCGGAAGGGGAGGGACTTCGCCTCGGGTCACATATTACGTCCAAAACTGTTTCTGATAGCAACGTTTCTGATAGGGCCGTGGGTGTAAAGCCAGCCTACATTTCCGATATTACGTCATATCGGACGCAAATCTGGATCAGCTCCGTTGTAGCCCCATTTTTAGAGATTTGGGTACGGAGGAAAAGAGAGAGGGTTTTATTTTCTGACGCTGCGTGAGTTCCCCGACACACCGGGGACACATCTTTATGTATAAAAGACATCAAAAAGTGCATTTTGCATGATAGGAGACCTTTAAAGTACCAAAAGTAAAGTAGTCATTATGCAGATTGGTCCATTTCAGAATAATTTATGATATGTTTTATAATTATTGATCATTAAAGGTGGGGTAGGTACGTTTGAGAAACCGGCTCGAGATCGCTAGAATTTGAAAATACACAACCGGAGAAAATCTGCCACTTCCTTATAGAGCCCCTCCTCCAACACACACGAACGCGCACATGACCAATGAGGGCACGAGATAAGTTTGTGCACAGATGGAAGGCTGACAGGCAGGTAGGCCATCCAGTTATTTTAGCTGGGCCGGCTAAAATGATTGGTCGTACTTTTTACAGTACTACGGCTTCCACAGATGACATTTTGTTATGGATTTTTTGTCAAAGCACTTAAGATATTCATTGCTATCGGGATGTTAAGAGCATTCCATGGAATATAACAAAAAGTGTATCTCGAGCCGGTTTCTCAAACTTACCTACCCCACCTTTAAAGTGTTATCAAAGCTGGTAAAGGTGCAGCTAGTTTTAAGGACTTTGTATACTGCTGGGTAGCTTGTGAATGTAGGACTCCAGGTGTAACTAAAGTCTGATTAAAGAGTTGATTGTATTGTTTATAATTAATCCATATCTTCAAAACAAAAGTTTGAATCTCTCTCACCCTGAACTCCTCTAGGAGCCGGTACGTTTTGCCTCCGTAGACACAGACCCTGGCCATAGCCTCGCACACCGGACAGCACGCCCTATAAATCATCCGCGTGCACCGGGGGTGGATGCGCGGACACTTGGGTCGGACGCACACGGGACCGTCCACGGTGCACGTGCAGGGACACGCCGTGGAGCTCGGGTAATACACCTCTCCGATCCCGTAAACAAACCCGTGGTCGTCGATGCACCACCGGCCCCGGTAGTCCCCGAACTCGTAGTCCAGGTCGCTTCTGGAGGAGTACTCCGCCGCCGCGTGCAACATCAGCAGGGCGAGCGCGAGACAGAGGCAGCTGAGCGCGCGGAGCGGAGGGCTCATGGTGAACGGGTTACCGACACTGAGCCCCGGTAAGAGAAGAGTCCGGTCAGCTCTCCCCCCCCCATACATCACGCCCACACATGCGCGTCAGTACGGAGAGTACTCACATAAAGTACTCGGATACTTTGTTATTGTTTTTATATTGACATGTTGTTTAGCTCAGGGGTTCCCAACCTTTATTGTGCCAAGGACCGGCAGATACATTAAAAAAAAATCGCAGACCGGTTGTCAATTTTAACTGATTTTAATATTTACTCACCAGCAGTAGCAACAGAGACTAATTGTATGTAACAGCCTGAACAAATACTAGTACAATATGCATCCAAAACATATTAACAACGTTTAAAAAAAAAAAAAAGAACCGGTGTTTTTTGGAAAAATAGAAAAACGGAAATCCAAAAAACCGACGTTATTCAGTTTTTAAACCAAAACGGGAAAACAGATAAATCAACGTTTTGGCTTTGTTTGTATGATTTACGGATAATCCAGTGAATGCTGGGAAAACGAGGAGAAGGCGCATTATGAAGGAGATGTCCGGTCGCCTGTGTGTGTGTGTGTGTGTGTGTGTGTGTGTGTGTGTGTGTGTGTGTGTGTGTGTGTGTGTGTGTGTGTGTGTGTGTGTGTGTGTGTGTGTGTGTGTGTGTGTGTGTGTGTGTGTGTGTGTGTGTGTGTGTGTGTGTGTGTGTGTGTGTGTGTGTGTGTGTGTGTGTGTGTGGCATTTGTTTTCAGAAGATATTATGATAGTGTCGTTCGTTCCGGTGCACACACACATCATGCTCCTTGGTGACCGGACATCTCCTTCATAAAACGAGTAATAGGGGGAATAATCGGGCAGTTCGATGTGTGTGTGTGTGTGTGTGTGTGTGTGTGTATAGAGGTGTGTGTGGTTAACATGTAGCAGCCTGCAGTCACTTAAGCTGTTCTGAAGAAGGTAAACACAGTGAAGGCGGTGCGTAAAAAGGCACAGCTCTCGGTGCGCTGGTGCTGCACTTCTCAGAGGCAGAGTTACACGTCCCACTGCCTCCTGATGCTGCAGCCATTTCATGAAGTGAAGGAGGTTTTCCTTCTATAAAACAGCTGTGGGCAGCAGATACCGTGAGAGTCCCGGACATTCATTCATAGATCAAGGCAGACTGGTTTACAGACTCTCCTGTTTTGCCAATCTGGTGCTTAAACAAGCTCTACACCCCTGGCCGACATGTCCTTAAAATGAAGTCCGAGTTTGAAATATATCTCAAATAATGTATGCACTGCCATTTCCCCACATAAATATAACGGTCTGCAATGAAACGGTTGTCTCCTGTGTGCTCCTCTTCCTACTTGGCACCGGTAACTTTCTCGTGCGCACGAGAGGCTGAGACCGCTGAGCCGCCGAATCCCTCGGAACACCATAAAAGCAATTTTCAACTGTTTTCTCGTGAAAGTTTAACTAGGCTACTGGATGAAATAATATGACTGGTATAGGTGCGAAAATTAAACACTTTTTGAAACACATCTTTTTTAAATTTCATTTACTGAGGTTTTAACCATTATTTACAACATGTGTACATACGCAGTGGGATAATAGGATATCTCTAGGTCATTAAACTGTCTTAAATTCTGTTTAATTATATTAATACAAAAAATAGGCCATAGAAAATGTTTAATTGTGTATTTCAGCAGAGCGGGGGTCACGTGGTGCTGACCTGGTGTCAGTGGGACATCATCTGGGCTGGTTTAGGGGAAGAAGGAGAATATAAACGGTTATAAACCACAGCTAGATATTAAGATTAGAAAACCAATATTGTTAAGAATCAATCTATACAACATGCTTTATTTAAAAAAACATAGTTTTATTAGTCCAGAAAAATGAAGACTGAACAGCGCGTATCTAACTTATTTACATATTGTATTTTTTCCTGATATTTTAGACATACTATACTATGCAGCTACTAAATACTACACTATGTTGGTTTTCGGGATATTTCCAATATACTACACTATGTGGTTTTTCCTGATATTCTTTTACCACAAACTATACTTAGTTTTTTTAGGTGATATCTTCGACTATGTATAATGCGTGGATCTGTGTTATATTCTCAACATGTTTTTTATGTCGTTTTTCTAATATTTTGGACATATTGTTCTATGTTTATATTTTCCAAATGTTCCATATCCCGGCTCTGCTGCAGGACAAGCTCTCCCAGCTGCACGTGCCCGACTCCACCTGCAGGTGGATCACAGACTTCCTTTCTGACAGGAAGCAGCACGTGAGGCTGGGGAAACACGTCTCTGACCCCCGGACCATCAGCACCGGTTCCCCTCAAGGCTGCGTTCTTTCACCTCTGCTCTTCTCCCTGTATACTCATCTCTGGTGGGGACGAGTCTGCCTACAGGTGGGAGATGGACCATCTGGTGACCTGGTGTGGGGACAACCACCTGGAGCTCAACGCTCTCAAGACAGTGGAGATGGTCGTGGACTTAAGTTCAGGAAGAACGCAGCCCCACCCGCCCCCAGCTTCCTGGGCACCATCATCGCCCAGGACCTCAAATGCAGATGTTCTGCTCCCTCATCAAAAAAGTACAGCTGAGGCAGCTGAAGAAATTCAACCTGCCAAAGACGATGATGGTGAACTTCTACACCTCCATCATGGAGTCCATCCTCACCTCCTCCATCACCACCTGGTACGCTGCAGCCACAGCCAAGGATAAGGGCAGGCTGCAGCGTGTCATCCGCTCTGCAGAGAAGGTGATCGGCTGCAATCTGCCCTCCCTCCACCACCTGCATGCCTCCAGGAATCTGAGGCGGGCAGGGAAGATAGTGGCCGACCCCTCCCACCCTGGACACAAACTGTTCACCCACCTCCCCTCTGGCAGGAGGCTGCGCTCCATCAGGACCAAAACCTCTCGCCACCTTAACAGTTTCTTCCCCTCCGCTGCCGGCCTCTTAAACAAGGCCCGGCCCCCCCGCTGACACTTTACCTCTGCCACATTATAGACTATATGCATTACATTAATGCACACAATGTCATACTCCTTACTGCACATATTCTTATTTCACATTTCATGTTTATATTCTAAAATTCATTCATAGCATTCCATTTCCATGTAAATTACTGCTTTATTTGTATTGCTATTTATATCTTATTACGGTGTAAAAGATTTTGTGTTTTATATTAGATTTCTTAGTTTTCTATATATGCACCATGACATCAAGTCAAATTCCTAGTATGTGCGAACCTACCTGGCAATAAAGCTGTTTCTGATTCTGATATACTATACTATGTGGTTATGTTATTCTTCTTGATATTATTCTTTCCATGCTACATTATTTCATTATTTCTGATATTTTAAATATTCTATATCTATTTTTTTTTACATCCTATTTATGATATATTGAAAACTGTATCAAGTTTTTTTTATTTAAACTCACTGTCCTTTGTAGCTTGTTCACATCTGTGTAGCTTCCAAACTATGATTTATCGTGCGTTTCTATCATTTCCTTTGAAAATAGCAGTCCAACTCTAATTTAATGTCCAATACATTAAAAAAAGGGCCAGAGATCCAGCAAGAAAAAGCTAACAGCCATAGACTGAGAAATCATCTTTATTTGGAGAGATAAGTCCTGACAGTAAAAAAGAAAGATCCAAAAACAGGCATATTCTAAAAACGGTCCAATTGGAGTAAGAAACAGTCCTTTAAACGCACAGGTCGCATCTCTGTGGTGTTCAAATGCATCTACAGCAGGAACAGTGTGACCACAGCATCTCCATTTAAAACAGATCTTACAGAGTCCATGTGATGAATACAGCGGAAGTAGCATCCATGTCAACTGTTTATACTCAAGTCACTTTATCACCCAGGTGTCAAAGAGCAGCTTGGAGACGTGTATGACATTTCATGTCTTACACACATCATGATCTTTTTCCCACATTTTAAAAACTGCTTTCCTCGGCCTGAATGGTTTTTATGCAGGATTGAGTAAACCATGCAGAAAAAGTGTGGCGCAACAATTGAAATCCGTACCAGTCAAACTGTGACATGTTCCAGATAGCGTTGGATTCATCACGAAGGCTTCATTTGAGAATAACATTCTAAAAGGATCCACTAGATCTCTAAAAACAAAGAAGAGGTAACAGCAGTAGAAATCACACAAACTGAGGAACTAGAAAAGTCTGAGGTTTTTATCTGGGGGGGGGGGTCCTTTATCATACGCTGGGATTCAGACTCTGAACAGAGTGATGAACCCCTCCACCGCTGCAGCAGATTGAAGCTGATGTAAAGGTTTATACATCAACACTGAGCCATATCTGTCTTCCTGTCAGCAGTGTGAACCCGGGGAATGTTGGGTACCCCAAAGCTTTATGTTAGAAATGAATAGCACGGGTCCCCAGAACATAGAAACTGCCAGATGCTAACTCGCATATGTTGGACAACTTGCACATTTAGCATCAGTTTCATTCAATTGCATTATAGCCTATGTGGAAAATAGTACAAAAATGGCTCTGCCGATTCCCCGAGTGGTTTTGGGGGTGATTGAGGATACCATTTCTGTCATATTTGTGCACCGATGGGCTGATCTTGACTACCATGAGAAGTGCTGCGACCAGTGGAAATAGAGAGCACAAGAAGAGAACGATAACCTCTACTGGGGACAATTATCTTTCAAATAAATAAGCAACCTGCCCAATCCAAATGATCCAGAGTCCCATAGATCTTCAAAAACAACCCAAATGTAATCAAAGTCTACAGAGAGTAAATTGCCATTTTCTGGTTAAAACTGCCTTTGTTGATCATGAAAATGTCCGGAATGGGCAAGCCATTTTCTAACCGATTGTCTGCATGGAAATGTATGCAACTCATGCTAATTGTGCAAATTGCCCAATATATGCAAGTTAGCAGTTAGTTATCATAAAGACTGTGGGGTACTTAACATTTCCGGGTTCACAATAGGGAGCGGTCAACTAGACTATAGAGAGAAGTGTTTCAGCCACAGCCAACAGTACAGTCTACACAGTGGGAGCTTCACATTTGAACTACAGATGAACAACATGACTTCCTCCTGGTGTCAGAGAGGAGGAAGTATTCTGAAACACGTGGCCGCTGTAGCACAGTGATTCAATGAAGAGATTTAGCGAGCTGATTTTTGATATTTCCCTCAAATTACCAAGAAAAATAGCCCCTCTTAGATGTGAGAATCTGTGTGTGAGGATTAATGTTGAAAGATTCACAGGGTTTCCCCCCCCCCCCTTCACGAGGCTGGAGCATGAAAGGCATGCTAACTGTTTATTAACCACACCATCAGACCCTCATTCACAGGATGTGTGAAGATGGACGCACCATACACGCAAGGGGGTCCTATAGTTCCCACTGTGTGTCTTACAGACTGCTACACGTCATACTGCTGGCTGCCCTGGCTGGGGGGAGGTATAGGTGTTGGTGGTGGAGGGGTTGCCTCCTCAGAGGCGGGGCGAGGAGGTGGAGGAGCCCCCGCGATGGGGTTAGATGCTTCCGGAGCCGCAGGGGGATCAGGGGCTGCTGCTCCGGGGGCGCCGTCTGAGGGGGGGGGGGGCATGCTGCTGCTGTTGCTGTCGTCACTGCTCACAGGACTGCTGCTCTCCCTGGGGGGCTCAGGGTGAGGCGAGGCTTTATCAAAGGGGGGGTCAGACGGGGGAGGTGGAGCAGCCTGGGGCTCGGAGGAGGGCTCGGAGGAGGGCTCGGAGGGCACTGCTTCATCTGTGGGTTGGAGGGGGGGGGGGGGGGGGGGGGGGGGGGGGTAAAGGTTTGATTTAGATCAGAGACTTTGAAGACTTTTAATATTGGAAACAAACACAGCAGCACACTCAGATGTCAGATTTCTTTTTTAAGGGTTCAGCAATATCCATACACAAATGAATGTAAAATGTTCAAAAGCATTAAGTACCTGTCTCCATGGGTGTGGGCTTGTCCTCCTCCTTTGTCCCTGAGGTTGTATTAGCTGTGCTGCTCGCATTATCGCTGCTCTGCTCTGCTGCTTTGTTCCCGGCAGCCTCCTCCTCCTGTTGCTGCTGCTGCTGCTGCTGCGCCTGCTGAGCAGCTTTCTCCGCCTGCTCCGCCGCCTCCCGCTCCCTCTCCTCCGCCCGGCGCCTGGCCGCTTCCTCAGCAGCAGCCATCTCTGCTGCCAGCTTCTCCATGTCCACCTCCACCTTCTGACCGCACAGCTGGAGACACACAGAACACGGATCAAACCACGGCTTCATAAAAACTGAATTGAATGCAAACGTGTTTATTAAGTCTTAAACCCTCTTCTTTTCTCTTTAATATATCAGAATGCAAGACTTCAATGCTAACAGTAATCATATGTCGTGTTGCAGTGATGACGTATTTTTGAAGGCCGAAGCAGAAGTTCGCATCCGAAAGGCTCCCCGGACTAAGAGCAATGGGATTTGTCTATTGGATTCAGGAATTCCATTATGGAATAACACATGTTTAGGATACTTACACGTTTGCTCAGCAGGATCATCTCCTCATGTTAACACCACTTTGATACTAGCTGAAGGTAAAACGCTTATGCTAGGCTATGAAGGAACTACATCATGGTCACAGGAGTTCACGTCATCATCGCTAAGCTAAAGGTGGCTAATGTGCGGAATGATGACGTTCGATCGTCTCATTCAGTCCCTTTGAAAAGGTTCTGATGTTTTCCAGTAGGGTATTTACTGATGTAATACATGTTGCAAAACAAAACTTTAAAATGTCTTGTTGCTCCACAGTACTAACCGTAGGCTTCTAATCAAGCCTACGGTTTCAGGACTTGCACTACTCCATTTAGTTCAGGGGTAAATGACCAGCATGCATCTGCGGTTATACATTGTTTTTGCCCGCCACTCGGCCGTATCTCGATAGAAAATGTGCTGCTGTACCCTCTTGAGTTCAGTGTTGAATGAGTCGGTGGTCTCCAGGAAGCGTCTCTTCTTGTCTTGGTGGCGATCCTCGATCTGCAGAAGTTCTGCCTCCAGCTTCCTCTGAAACACAAAGGAAATCACAGGTGAGTCTCTGAAGTTCATTTGACATTTGTTCACCAACATTCGACTAAAACATAATGCATGATTAGCAGAGGCCTCCCTGAAGCGGAGAGTATGTCTGTTGAACCTACCTGGTGCACCATGAGAGACTGGACCTGCCTCTTCAGGACCTGCATGCGGGCGGTGGTGACCACGGAACGGACGTCGGGGACAACGATCTCACTGAGGATGTCGCTGATGAGCCGGTGGTTCCTCTGGAAGCGAGCGGCTGCCGTGTGCTTCACCGAAAAACCATCATCGTAGTCTAGACAGAGGAAAGGGGAAGCAGGTTAAAGAGGCCATATTATGCGTTTTGGGGTTTTCTGTTTCCTGTAGTGTGTTCTATAGGTTTTTATGTCAATGGTCTGCAAAGGCTATAATCTCCAGAGGGAGTTTCTCTCCCACAAAACTAAAAACTGTGCTTTCTCATTATAAATGTGATTTTAAGCCATTATTGAACAGCTTTATTGGCGGCTGTGGTTCAGTAGGCACTATGGTCCTCCAACAACTGGATGGTCAGTGGTTTGACTCTCAGCCCCTGCAGTCAACATGGCGATGTGTCCTTTGGCCAGATACTAAACCCAAAATTGCTGCAATTGGCCAACGGTCTGTAAATGTGTTTGAATGTTAGTCTCCTGGGCAGGTGGCACATTCTATGGCACACTCTGTCTCTGTATGAATGTGTGTGAATGGTTAAATGCCGACTTATTTATGTAAAAGCAATTTGAGGGGTCCAGAAGCTGGAGAAGTGCTATCTAAATGTAGTACATTTTTACCATGAATAAATGCCTTGCAAACTCACCATCAGGGTCTTCAGCTGGCTGGATGCTCATGTACGGCTCTCCTTTATCCATACGAGTCTGCCTCTGCCGGCTCTCCTCCTCCATCGCGGCCTCAGCCCGGTTCTTAGCGTTGACGTAGGCCAGGTACACCGGCGAGTTGTGGTAGGCCTTCAAAGACTCGTTATACTCAATCTGAGGTGGGGAGAGGGAAAGAGTTCAAAAAAACAAGCTGAGCAGGACGATGCCACTTCCTGCCTGGACCGTTGTAGTTTTCTGTTAGAAGATATTTGCACTGTTTATTTTCTTACAGCAATTAAAAGGTTATTCAACAAAATATGTGACCCCTTCCATCCAATCGTAAATACCCTGGACTAAATATACACAAATAAAAATCCTACGAGAACCTCTGTGGTAATTGGGACACTTCCGGGTTCTCACCTTCTCAGCTTCGTACTCGTTCAGGTAGTCCTGCTTCTCCTCATCCGTCAGGTCTCTCCACATCCCTCCGATAATCTTTCCAATCTCCCACAGCTTCAGGTCTGGGTTGGAGGCCTTCACTTGGTCCCATACCTTTTGTTTGCATATGAACGCAAGATGCAAACACAACAAAAAAACATATGGTCACCACAGGGCAACTGCACTAAATGCTAAGTTAGGTAACTACAAGATAGTGAACAAAATAAGGGAGGAAAAGTGCAAAGGAAAGGGGAAATAAGCTCCCATATTATGGATCTACTGGTAAAGGTTATATCTAGCATTAAAAGGTAAAGCCCTTTTTGTATGGCTAAAAGGTTGGATGGAATGAAATGTATCTAAAGACAGAATCTCATGTCTTAAGTCAACTGATTTCTGAGCAGATTTTGTCTTTATGCCATTAAAATGTTTAAAAACTAGAGAAGCAGCAAAGCGAATACAGGGGGAAATGAAGCCAGAGGCAGATCATGCTAGCAGAAGGAAATACAGGGAGATGTATTTTCTTTTTCTAATGGTTGACAAACACAGGAGGCTACTTAGAGCCAACAGAGTGGAGAGGCACCACTGGGTGGTTTGAGGTGGTGGTGGAGGCGTCATGGCTTGGCTGTTTCCCCCCCTAACACCCCTGCAACTTTTCAGGGGATGGGAGGACAAGCAGTAAAAGCAGACACCGTGGATGGGTGTCTTACCTTCCTGCTTACCTTCCGGCTGTACCGCATGTAAGGCATCAGGGGCTTGTCTGGAGGTTTTGGGGGCTTTGGGACGGTGATCCCAGAGGAGGTCTGTGGAAGGAAAGGAAAAGAGAAAGGGGAAATCGGGGGCAAAGAAGGGGGGGTGGGGAGTTTGAAAGAGGAGGGAGAGAAGGGAAGTGATAAAAAAGGGACAAAGGTTTGGAGAGAGAAACAAAAGAAAATACTGTCATTAAACATGATTTCATTCTGAGTTGTGTAGGTAAGCAGGGCATACATGTGGTCAAGGGGTCTTGAAGGTTTTCCTACTGCTGAATAAAAGCATTTATGATGCAGGTTCATTCATGTTTGGCCATGCTTTAATGCACTGCAAGGGAAGGGAAAATGATATTGGTATTCAGTTACCACTGCATCTGAGAGACTATGCAGATTATATCCAGCAGATTTAAATAAATTACAATGTTTTTTTGAATAAAACATTACCACAAACAAGTGTACAAATATTTAGAACATTCACACGTGTAATGCCCAGGAACGCACCAGCTGATCTACTTGTCATGACAATATCAAATTCTATATTTCATTTCTACAATTTGAAAGTGGTGCACAAGTCTAAAAAGGGTGGAACAATTATGTCCATACTTTAACAGTGTTGCGCGGAGGATTTATTTGATTAGTTCATAAATGTTTAACCGTCCTGGTTGGTGAAGGCTCTTGCTGATTTTAAGCGATTTAGGTCAAATTAAATAGAAATAATAAATAAATAGAAAGTTAAATCACAATGATTGTATATGTTTCCTCCAGTATTTAAGTAAGTTTGGTGAACCAGACTATCTTACTTAATATTCTGTTTGCATTGAAAAGTCTAAATTAGTCAGAATAATTTGATTATGGTTTAAATCCTACAAAAAAAAAAACTCAAAAATAACCATGCTTCTGGTAATTTCGCAAAAATGATGTATGCGTTGAATTAAATATACAGCTCTGGAAATCAAGAGACTACTGCAACATCAGATTCTGGTTTCACAATTTATAGGTATGTGTTTGGGTAAAATGTACATGTTTCATTTTATTCTACAAACTACTGACAACATTTCTCTGTGTTGGAATTCAACAGACACTGGAATGGAATGGCTGCCATACTTGTAGAGATTGTGAGTTAAGAAACATTTGGAGTGGTCTCTTAATTTTGCACTTAGCAACCTAACAATAATACCTAACAATGGAGTGTGGTGTTACACTGCATAGAAATGCTATTTCCCATCCGTTGTAACCCTCCCTCCTGCTACTTTCTTTAAAGAAGCCTATTCTACTCATTGTCGGGTTCATAGTTGTATTTGGTACCTCTACTGGGTACCAATTACTTTAATTTTCAAAAAGCTCTTCCTCATACTGCCTGTGCTGCAGCACCTCTTTTCACCCTCTGTCTGAAACCAGAGCCCAGTCTGCTCTGATTGGTTGGTTGGCTGACTGGCTCTGTTGTAATTGGTCAACCACTTAGAGATGTCTTGCCCCTTAGCCTATCACGTACAATGTGTTGGAGCGCTAGCTAATTAAAGGGCAAGTGTAACGTAGTGATGACACTATAGGCGCTTTCACACCGGAGTACTTTTCCCCGTACTCTTCCCGTTTAGTTCCGATAGTTCCTGGGATTTTGCGTTCACACCAAAAAGAGAACTTAGTTCATGAGAACTTTTCCCCCCCTTTTCAGTCACTGCTAGAGAGGTGGTACTATCCTGGGGAGAAAAAAAATCCAATTTCTGATTGGCTGGGCGAATTGCAAACCACGCTCCGTAAAACTCAGAAAAGTTGTGTGAAGCCGCCATTGGATTTGCTGGCATTAGCATTATTATCGCGCACCAACGGAGAGAGACTAACTTATGGCAACACAAAAGAAAACATGGGAGCGGTGGAGATGAGGAGGTGTCGGCGTTCTGCCGATTTACTCGGAAGGCTTCAGTAGAAGCCAGTCCCCAACTCCGGGGACTTCCGGCCAGGGACTTCGGGTGACAGTATACGCCGTGAAGTTGTTTGCGGCATGCCAGTAAACCCAAAGCAGAAGAAGAAGTGACGTCAGCGGCTCATTTGCGTAATCTTCCCTCAGGGACTTATTCCGGTGTGAACGCGATCTGCTCTTTAGTTCCATGGGGGAACTAATACCCCTTTCACACCAACGCGGTTCCAGGGCCGGTTCGGAGCTGGAGCTTGAAAAGCACCGGTTTTTCCTGTTCACACCGCAGCGAAGCCGCCTATAAGCTCCGGAATCCGGTTCGTTTCGAGCACCAAAAAGTTGTCCGTCTAGAAGCAAGAACCGCATACGTCACGCTTACGTCGGAAGGGGGCGAGATTAACCTGAGCTAACAGTTAAGGCGAGGAAGGCAAATAAAAGTTGTAACAAGCAGTAGTGCTGAGCAAAGTGACTAGAACGCAACCACACACTTGTAAAAAAAAAACACGCTTTATAAAGTCAGGCAACACTAACCAGGCTTCGTGTGATTCTGTTTATTTGTACCTTACTTTGACCATCCGTTCGCTGTTATTGATCATTGTGGAGAGCAGGCAGACGTTTTGTTTTGTATTATAGCATGCTATCGGATGGAATCAATACATGGGCTGCACAGGTTGTCATGTCCGACTATCACAAGTAGAATCATAATGAAAAATACGCCGGTAAAATGTGCCTGTAGAAAACGGCTTATGCCACAATAGGATAGCAACAAGTAGTCAAGTTATAGTCAGTTTAACTTCGGTTGCTATGCTAACATCACCCATTTTATACCAGAGAAACTTTCATAACAGCGTTGTGATGCCAAACAGCGTCAATTCAGACTGACACACATTCACTTAAGGGGAACTGGGGATATGTATCAGCTGCTTGTGTGACAGTCAGACAGTGAATACTTTAGAGCCGTGTGAGCTAACCCGGAGCTAACGGGAGAATAAACTCCCGTGGAAGAGCAGCCAGCACTGCAGCGGTCGGTAAATGCCGCTGAAACACATTAATAAACAATGAACCACGGCACTCTGGAGAAAAGTATAAGGTTGGAGAAGTCGTTATTTAATTTAATCTGGCTTCGTATGATTAAAAGCAACACGATCATCGACCCGACGCAGTCCCTGGCCCGTTGTTGTTGTTGTGAGCTCCGTTGGGGAGAAAATCAGCGACGTAAACTGTGACGTCATGACGCAGCAGCGGCAGCACCAGTCGGGCTCTGAGCGGTGTGAACAGAGCGGGAGCTGAACCGAAGAACCGGTTCTGAACCAGAAAAGCTCTAGCACGGAGCTAGAACGGGAAAAGCCTTGGTGTGAAAGGGGTATAAGTGCTGGGAACTAAGTACGGCAAAGTACTTGGAAGCAAGATGCGCCGGTGAAGATGGCCGCATCGTCTTTGTGCTCCTCTCCAACTTTGTCCATTTTCGTATTTTGTACATATTTATTTTACTTTTGCCGTTTTACTTTTAACATGGTACTTTAACATGTTAGCCGACCGCACCTACTCTGCCATACAATATAGCAGAGGGGAACTTCTTCAATTGCGAAACTTTGTGGACAATAATAACCCTCCGACAAACAATGGAGATTCACCATGGCTACCTGTTGCTGTTCTACCTGAGAGACGCAAGAAGAAGACAAAGCGCGGGTGCCGGGCCGGGCTGCTGGTCAGACTGAGGAAACGAGAGAATCGACTCCCTCTTCCGAGTATTCTTCTGGCTAATGTTCAATCCATTGAAAATAAGCTAGATGAACTCAGAAGCCGGATTGCTTTTCAACGGGACATTAAGAACTGTAACGTGTTAATTCTCACTGAGACTTGGCTCAACCCCGCTATCCCGGACTCCGCCATTGTTCCTGATGGATTCTCTATTTTTCGTCAGGACCGGACTGCTAACTCGGGGAAAAGTAAGGGAGGCGGTGTGTGTGTAATGACTAATAACAACTGGTGCTCAGATGTGAAGATTATTTCCTCGGACTGTTCCGCTCATCTAGAGCACCTCATGATCACATCTGCCGAGGGAATTCACATCTGTTGTGATAACAGCAGTGTATGTCCCCCCGCAGTCGCTCGCCGACAACAACACGGCACTCGATCAGCTGTTTGGGATTATTGATAAAACCGAGACTTCACGGCCAGATGCAGCGTTCATTGTGGCCGGAGATTTCAACACCGCCAACATGAAGAAGGTTTTGCCAAAATATTACCAACACATCAGCGGCCTAATGCGCGGGGGAAACATACTGGACCATGTTTATTCCCCTTTCCGAAATGGATATAAGGCTCTCCCTCGCCCTCCCTTTGGCAAATCAGACCATATCTCGCTGCTGCTGCTGCTGCCTGCTTACAAGCAGAAACTTAAAAGGGACAGACCGGTAACAAGGACAGTACAGCGATGGAGCGAGGAGTCAGATGCAGCACTGCAGGATTGCTTTGCATCTACGGATTGGAGTGTGTTTGAGGACAATAACATCAACACACACACGGACACTGTCATCTGCTACATTGGGAAATGCATCGATGACGTGGTACCGAAGGTTTCTGTACGGACATTCCCAAATCAAAAGCCCTGGATAAACTGCGATGTGCGCGGCAAGCTGAAAGCGCGCACTATCGCGCACAGAGCTGGAGATTTGGAGGAGTACAGGAAGTCTAGGTATGATCTCCGGAGAGCAATTAAAAATGCAAAGAGACAGTAAAAAGAGAAGGTGGAATCTGACTTCAAAGGCTGTAACACCAGGAATATGTGGGCGGGACTAAGAACAATGACTGACTACAAAGGAGCAGCGGGGGGTGCTGCGGGAGTGTCTGCGTGCGCATCTCTCCCAGATGAGCTGAACAGTTTTTTTGCACGCTTTGAGAGCAGCCGGGCTGTGGAGGCACAGAAGGACCAGGAGCTACACTGCCCTTTTGTTTTAAATAGGGCAGATGTGTGCAAATCCTTTAAAAGGGTTAACCCACACAAGGCTCCTGGACCTGATGGCATCCCTGGCCGTGTTCTCAGGGTGTGTGCAGTTCAGCTGGCAGAGGTGTTCACAGACATCTTCAACAGGTCCCTGCTGCAGTCTGTAGTCCCCACATGTTTAAAACACTCCACTATCGTTCCTGTCCCCACAAAGGAAATAATCACCTGCCCCAACGACTACCGCCCAGTAGCACTCACCTCCACCATAATGAAGAGCTTTGAGCGGTTAGTCAAATCATTCATCACCTCCTCCCTCCCTGAATCTCTGGACCCCCTGCAGTTTGCCTACAGAGCAAACAGGTCCACAGACGACGCCATAGCCCTCACCCTCCACACTGCCCTCTCACACCTGGACCCGAAGAACAGGAACACATATGTGAGAATGCTGTTCATTGACTACAGTTCAGCATTCAATACCATTGTGCCCTCCAAGCTGGCCATCAAGCTCAGAGACCTCGGGCTCAACAGCGCCCTCTGTGACTGGATCCTGAACTTCCTGACGGGCAGACCCCAGGCAGTGCGGGTGGGAAACATCACATCCTCCACCCTGATTCTCAACACCGGTGCCCCTCAAGGCTGCGTGCTCAGCCCTCTCCTCTACTCCCTGTTCACCCACGACTGCGTGGCCACACACAGCTCCAACACCATCGTGAAGTTTGCTGATGACACGACCGCCATCGGCCAGATCACAGACGATGACGAGACGGCGTACAGAGAGGAGGTCGAAAACCTGACATCTTGGTGCCAGGATAACAACCTCCATCTCAACGTCAGCAAAACAAAGGAGCTGATTGTGGATTACAGGAAGCAGCAGGGAGAGGGACACGCCCCCATCGCCATCAATGGGACTACGGTGGAGAGAGTCAGCAGCTTCAGGTTCCTTGGGGTCCACATCACTGAGGACCTGACATGGTCTCTTCACTCCACCACCATCACCAAGAAAGCTCGACAGCGGCTCTTCTTCCTCCGCAGGTTGAGGAGGTTCAAAATGGATTCCAGGATACTGTGCAACGTCTACAGGTGCACCATAGAGAGCATCCTGACTGGCTGCATGACGGCCTGGTACGGCAGCTGCACCGACCTCGATCGTAAGGTGGTGGTGAAAACTGCACAGCACATCACCAGGACGGAGCTGCCATCCATGGAGGACCTTTACTCCCAGCGGCTCAGGAAGAAATCACTACGGATTATCAAAGACCCCCATCACCCCAGCCACAAACTGTTCTTTCTGTTGCCGTCTGGCAGGCGTTACCGCAGCATCCTGGCAAGGACAAGAAGATTCGGAGACAGTTTCTTCCCGCGGGCAGTGAGAATGTTAAAAAATTGAACTGTTGAAACAACTTCAAAACATTCATCTGCTACTCAGTATTATGTATCTAATACCTTATATATATATATATACACATCATTCCAATAACTTGTATATAGACTTGTACTGCACTATTCCACATCATCACTTTATTTTATAACTATTTTTCTTTTTGTATTGCTCTTGCTCTTATTGTTATTATGTTATTATGTTGCATTGTTGGAGAAGCCTGTGACATAAGATTTTCAACTACATAATTACTCTGTAGCTATGTCAGATTGACAATAAAGAACCTTGAACCTTGTACTTGGTGTGAAAGCGGCTTATGATACAGAAGTAAACAAAGGAGTCCATGGAGGCGTTTCAGTCAGGGGGATGTTGGGATTTTTTTTTGTTTAACCATTTACATGCACAAAAACGTATTTAACATACTAAAGGAAAGAGAAAACCCCAAAAAGCAGAATAGGGCCCCTTTAAATACCCGTTTCCTTATTAAAAACAATTTCCCTCTCTATGCATAAGCCCCACCTTCTAAAACTATTAAGAATGCTTCCTTTCCCCATGGCTGTGCCCCTATATCTAGCCCAAGACTCTTTCTATCTACCCTCCCTCCAATCCTGCACCCAACCCCTTTTCTGATTATTTTCTCCAAATCCATCCGTCAGTTCATTACCCTGCTGGAGCCTCCGGAGCTCCCTCCCAGCCGGAGGTTGTTGTAGGCCAGATGGCTGTAAGGGTTGTATCCCACAAACCCTGGGGCGGTAGGCAATTGCTGATGGAAGACAAATGAGACAAAACACGAATGAGAAATGGTTCACAAACAAGAGGAGGAAGAGGGATAAATAAGTGAACACAAATAAGTGAAAACGGGAAAAACATGAAAATATAAATGTATTGTTTTGTTTTGTTTTCCATGATGTCAACACGCAGACCATGTCAGGCAACATGGGAATGTTGCATGTACCAAGCAACAAGCTCCCATAGCCCCCACGAGTTTCATTATATAAGCCATGTAACTGAGACATTGAATTTCAACTTTAAACAGTGCTGTGCCTCTTACTCAATGCAAGGAAATTAAAGCCTCACAACAACTATGATGACTCTAAAACTGTACACATGTACTCATCCTAAATATCTCAAATTTGATTTTATTCAGAATACCCCATGAGGCACAATAACCTCTTTTTTTTTTTTTTTTAAATGGTAGTAAGAGAGGAAAAACAGGAGTGAGTGTGAAGATGGAGAGCTGAACTGCTTGGTGGACACCTCTTTGTGTTCAGACAGAGAAAGAAAGAAAGAAAATGAAAGCATTGTAAAGGAAATTGTGGATAGAGAAGGCGTACAGCGGCAAGAAAGAAAAAAATAAAACAAAATAATGTGTGTGGCTAACATGGCCCTTTGGCCACTGAACGTTAAAAGCTGAGAGGGGGGACACTTACTGTGGTGGGGGCAGGGGGAGGGGGAGGGGCGTAGGATGGTCGCTCTGTGTGTGAAAGAAAAAAAGAAATGTCAAAACTTGGTGTATATTAAGCATTTAAAAGGCTGTTGTCAATATATGCATACATTTTTTGTATTCATATCTTTTATTATTTTGAAAGCCAAATAAGCTGGATATCTTAAAGCATATTACATTTTGATATTAATTAAACTATATCAGTTTTTAAATCTGCATAACATAGCATAACTCTCCACTTTAAAGTCTGATAAATTGCACATATTTTTAATATAGGTATTTTATTTGTATATTTCTCTTAATTTTTTTATGTAATATAATTGTTTTTTTTTATTTACTATTCTTGTCCTTCTCTTACAACCTAATTCATCCTACTGTTTTAATGCGCCATCAACACCAAAGCAAATTGCAATTTTAAACCTACAGCAATACAAGTTATTGTGGGATACATCCCTTTTATTGAAACCATCAGGGGTGGAAAGGGCACTCAGGTTCTTTACTTGAGTAAAAGTAGAAATACTATGGTCTTAAAATACTCCGTTAAAAGTAGAAGACTTTAGTGCGAAATATTACTTCAGTAGAAGTAAGTAATATCAGCTATACATACTTACAGTCTCAAAAGTCCTCAATATGAATAATGGCACCTTTCACAATATACATAATAATATACACGATATGATCCTGTTTTAAATCACTAACAAAAACATATGGGACATTTACATTTTGTAGTTTGACAATGTGGAGCTAATTTTATATACTTAAAATACAAATACTGGTTTGTAATTGTGTATATTGGTAGTGCAGTACTGCATCATCATAGAAGCAAATCACATGTTTCAATTTGTAAAAAGTTAATAATGTGAGTGTTAAATGAATGTAGTGAAGTTAAAGTATAAACGTGTAGGGGTAGAAGTATAAAGAAGGATACAATGGAACTACTCAAGTAAGGTACAAGTATGTCAAAATAGTACTTGAGTAATTGTTACTTTCCAACACTGGAAACCATTGACAGCAGCCTTTCTTTTAAGCTGTGGTTTTTGGTATAATTGTGTTGGTTATTTACAAACGATAACATACCAGCTCTCATAATATCAACAACAATGAACTTAACATTAGTTTGTTCTTTATAATGTGTGTTTACTTACTTGACATCGTGGCTGCAGACGGGGCTAAGTAGAGGAGGCTATTTTCATATTTGTTAACCTGGAGAAGGAAACAAAGTAAAAGGTAAAATACCCACATTATTAGATGCACTATACACGGGAAAATACCCACATTATTAGATGCACTATACACTCTTCGCAGTGACTCGTTTGGCACATTAAGAAGCAAGAAAAACATCGGCAAACGTATTCAACGTAACGATGATAACAATGAATGATTACAATGGCTGACGGGACAACCAGAGATAGCTTAACCGGCTCGGCCTATTAGCCAAACCTGCTAACACAAAGAGAACATTTGCCCCAATAGATTTCAAAGCAATTCAGTACGCCAGAAAAGGACACAATACACAAAACAGGCGTTTATGCACAGGCTCTTTCACTGAAAAAGTGTGCAGCGCTTGCAAGATATTTGAATTAGCCCTGCTAGGCTAGGCTAATGAACACTACACGCTAACGTTACCGCTAACGTACATAGGAGTAAATAAGCTACCATTATTAGCTTATTAACGAATGGTAAATAAGCATATTTGAATATGTTGCACACCTTTGTCACACTTTTATAAAAGTGTTGTATTTTAAATGTATTATGTTGAAAACAAACGTAAACATACTCACTCAATCGTCCTTTGTTCCCTCCGTCGGCCAGCTTGTTCCGCCCTCCATACACACAAACCGGAAGTGCTAACTCTGTTCTTGCCGGCGGAAAAAGGATGTTTTCAGAATAAAGTGTAGTTACTTCATCTTCTCTCGTTTTTGGCGGATTGCAAACAACTTAAAAGGTGCATACCGCCACCTACTGTACATGAGTATGAATCATCATATCATTCCAACTCTTTAACCTATGATCTAATCAAAAATAAATCAAAAATAAATAAATAAATCAACAAAAACATGAAATAAATAAAACAAAAATAAAAATCTATGTTCTTTCCTGACCTAATGTTAAATTATTTTTCCTACCCCAGTTTCACTCAAGAATGTAAACAGTGCCTTTCTGGTAGCTCTTACTCCCTCTCCTTTTGTTCCCAAAACACCAACCACACTCCATTCCCTCTCTGCCTCTAAAACTTTAGCCTTTAGTTTTTCTCTTTCCGCTTTATAGATGTCACAATGTAACAAGATGTGTTCTACATCTTCTTTTACTCCACAGTTCCCACACTTGTCACTGTCACTTTTCCCCATGATATACAGCGTACCATTCAAAGCCGTGTGATTTATTCTGAGTCTAGCGATCGTGATTTTCTCCCTTCTGTTTCTTTCTTTATAAATATTAATTGTAATTGTCTTTTGTACTTTGTGATAGTCTTTGCCTTTCTGGTCTTTCTCCCACCTTTTCTGCCAGATCTCCATCCCTTTTTTCTTAATTACTGCTTTTCCTTCTCCTTTACCAAGTTGAACTGGTAATGTTATTTCCTTTTGTAGTGCACTTTTTGTTAATTTATCAGCACACTCGTTCCCTTTCACCCCCTCATGTGCAGGCACCCAGCAGAACTGCAGATCTATACCGCCTCTGTGCAGTATTAACAGGCTATGATTCAGTTCTATGAGCAGTGGCGACTGGTCATTAGGGGCACAGCCCCACCTAGTGTCAGCAGAAAGTATTACACATAATGATTACAAAAAATGGAAAGAGATGCAAAAAAAGAAATAAAAAAAAATATAAAATATATTTTAAGGTCATGTTTAATCATCTGATTCGTCTGTACATTGCTGTTTTAGTCTGTGTTCTTCTAATTAGTGTCTACAGTGCCGTTTTGAGCCATGTGGGACAAAACCTGATCATGCCCCACCCTTTCACTGTCAAAGTGAACGGTGACTGTAAAAACTACACTGCGCATGCTCAGAGTATTTTTCAATGTAATGTGTGTGGCAAAAAAAAAAACACCATAGGGGCACAGAGCTGCCATCCCCACCATACGTCATCTCACATCATTCAGAGCTGATTGGCTGTAAGTACGTGTGCCGCGAAAAGTGTGGTGTGTGAAGAGCATGGATGTATAATAAGAGGAGACGAGAGCTGCAGTGACGCGTCCTAAAACCAGGAAGTAAGCTGCAAAAAAGCAATGAAGTTTCTCCATAGGATTTTAGAAAATAGCTCGAAATAAGATCTGTGGGAAACGTACCTGTTAGATAAATGCACGTTTTGTTCAGCCGGATAATATCCACATGTCTACCCTACTTTTATAATTTTCGAATCATAAATCTATCGATTAGATTTATGATAGACTTTTGAAACTACAAGAAGATAAGGAGGACTTTTACAAAAAAGTTATAGAATGTTTTGTCCAGAAGGATAGGCAAATGGACTTCATCTTCAAGTCAAGGTAAGACCGCAATTTTTTGAAAATGGGATCTTACTAAGAGAGAACAATTCAATATTTAAATGATAAAATTACATTTTTTGGGTATCCTTTTGTTGAACTGTCTGTTTAAAATTAATCGAAGCATCAGACAAAAAAAGCTTTTGAAAATAATATTATATTTTGGTTTAGGTCAAAATATAAGATTTGTAAACCTGAAGAGTCAGTGCCAGTGCCTCACCAGCCATGAACCTCACTGCACGTCACTGCAGAAGCTTATAGACATCTAAGTTTTTTGTGCCCCACCACTTTTGTACATATAAAAACGCCACTGTCTATGAGAATGGCTTCTCTGGCAGTTGTTGTTGATTGTATGCTTTGTAATATGGACAATAAATCTGTGCATATCAAATCCGTGTATCTACCGTCCAATTGTTTTTCTTTATTAAACGTAAACGGAAGAGCGTCTGAGAGGCCTTTTTGCTTTTTGCTTTTTACCTTACTAAATGGTCTAATGGTCATTGGAGCGAGGGGCGGGGCGAAACTCACGGAAGTGATTTCAAAACAAAAGCACTCGTTTGCTAAAATCACACTTTACTCCAATAGTATCCTGCTGAAGGAACGGTGATTATTATAAACAAGGGGAATTTAGCGATCACAACGAAAACGGCCAAGACCCATATTGAGCCCAGATAATGGATGTTATTAAGGGCTGTAAATATAATAAGCCTATGTCTAAAATTGACAACATTGTTAGGAGATTTAAACTATACAGCGATTCTGCACTGCGGTCACCTCAGCTGCCTCTCGAGTTTGCTTTTTCAAATCAGCTGCTCTTTATTATTCCTGCTATATTTGACGACAAATATTTTTTTACCTCAAGTTTTTAAGGAAACTGACACTCTTGGACTCGGTTCTAGTTTGACTTCTACCAGAAATAAAATGAAGTACTTTTACTGTGTACTTTGTGAGTAATCCTCTGTCAAAGTCCCCTCCATAATGCATGTTTTTCTGCTATCTTTGATAAATGATAAAAATATAATTTTACCATTAGTTCTTAATGAAATTGATACTGTTTGACTTTGTATTAGTTAGCCTACTACTAACAATACATTGAAGTACTTTTACTATGTATTTTTTGAGAAATACTCTGTCAAAGTCCCCTGCTGAGAACAAAATCAAGCCACTAAGTTTGATGAGGGAATTATTTTTTGTTGCCATTAGTTCTTCGTGAGATTGATCCTGTTGGATTCAGTACTAGTGAAACCCCCACAAGTACTATGAAGTACTTACTGTGTACCTTTCCAGTAATCCTCTGTCAATGTCCCCTCCGGAGAACAAGAATGCATGTTTCTCTGCTATTTTTGAATAAGCGTTAAAAAACCTTTCTTCATGAGACTTATATTGTTGGACAGAGTATTTTAAGAGGATATGGTAGACATGATATCAGCAATACTTCCAGTCAGTACTCCGGCAGCAGCATTTTACACCTTGGAAAGTCTTTAGAGTCTGGCCTGGATAGCTGGTCTATCCTTCAGCACACTGACAGACTCTGTCACTCTGGTTGGCCTATTATGAAGCTGCTGTCTTTTAATATATGATTATTTCTTAGCCGCTAGTTCGTTCCTCGCAGATTCTTCAGTCTCATCAGCCTCATCCTTCCATCAGTCCCCTGCAGTCAACGCATCAGCCTCCAGCACACTTCCAGTGTCTGACTCCATATGATATTGTCCTGATGCTGTATACAAGGGTGATGCCCCATGATCACAAAATGACCCCTCTAGAGTCTGAGTGCCAAGGACCTCATATTATGTATGTCATTAATGTTACATCACCCATTATAACAATTTGCTTTCCTTTTTTCTCTTCTCTTAACTGAATAGCCCTGTCTTTAAGTATAACCAGTGGCGGCGCCAGGGTATAGCTGGGGTAGGCTACAGCCATACCAAGAAATGGCTTAGCCCCACCTTAGCCCCACCATGAAAAGTGATGTTAAAGTAAGCAAATTCAATTAAATAATAAGCAAAATGCTAAATGTTGAGAACACGTCAGCTCTATGTGCACAACAATGGAGGCCAATATCGGAGAGAGAGTTAGAGGAAGAGGTAAATGCAATATACTGTATTTTGTCTTCAGTACCATATAGTAACTATGTTCATGTCATCTTCACTCTCAGTAAAGTCATTGTGTCTGATACTGTTATGAGTATTGAGAATAAACCTATTTGTGTGTTTCCACATTGCATGTGTTCATTCATAGTCCATATTTACAGCGTGCTACAAATGAAAATGCCTAAAACTTTGACTTGAATGTCTTGTTTAATCAACTAATGGACAGTGTTTCAATTCAGTTCATGTAAGCCTTACACACACATTCCTCTTTTGAGCGTCTAGTGATTATGGCCTGCATGTCTTTCTGTTCTAACTCAGCTGTCCACTTCTTAGCAGTTTAGACAAACATCAAATTCATAATGTAGACTAGTTGGACAAAATAATGCTTAACAACTGTTCCATTACTGTGTGAACTGCTTTAGGGGTTGACTGTATAAGATATCGTTCTCCAGCTTGCTGCTGGGTGCAGGTGAAAGTAGGGCGACAGTTCTGTTCACATCGCTGACATTTGTCACAGGTGAATCTTGCAGGTATGCAACTATGGAATGCCATTTAAAGGGGACCTATCATGCAAAATACACTTTTGTACGTCTTTTATACATGAATATGTGTCCCCGGTGTTCCAGGGAACTCACCAAGTGTCAGAAAACACAACCCTCTCTATTTTCCTCCATACCCAAATCTCTAAAAAAGGGGCTGCAACGGATCTGATAAAAACTGATCCAGATTTGAACACTGTCCTGACGTCAGGACGGTGGCGCTACGGCTATTGGGCCAACTCTCCACCTATCAGGGGAATGTGGGGTTGGGCCACGGCCGGCCATTGCCGCTCGAAAGCGCTGGAGACGCTGTAGTACATATGCCAGGCCTGTAAGTGGCGCTATATTCTGCCACAAAAGCAGCGAAGAAGACTTCCCGCCCATAGTTACCATGGTTACCCTTCTGTTTATTCTCCGCTGTGGCTTTTTTTCTCCCTCCCCGAGGCAAACGCTTGCTCCAGATTTGCTCCAGCAAGCACTGTAATTCTCTCCGGTTAGTCCACCAGCAGATGACAAACACCCACCTCTCCGCCTCTTCCAAGGAACGAGGGGACCGTGCGGCAGAGTTTCAGTTTCAGTTACTTTCGCCGGTCAAGATGTCCGTTAAAGTTTAAATCTTCCGGACAAAAGTGCCGGTCAAAGGTCTTCTTTGTTATTTATTGAGCTTTAAAACAAATGAATAACGACTCTATATAATAAAACACGGAGGACGGAGATCTCTTTTTCTCCC